TGAGAGAGGCCCTTGAAGCTCACAGGGCAGTCTTTCTTTTCTGGCCAACAGTCTCAGTTGCACCCAGCCTGTGTGTGGCCTGCAGCCTTTATAAAGTGAGGCTCTGAGTCAGGGGTCATGGGGCAAGGACTTCTGGTGTCAAAATGGAAAGGCCCATGCAATTTTTTTTTTAATCCCACCAACTATTCATGTTTTTCCATGGTAAAAACAATTATTAATGGTTTACCATAAGGCCATTCTTCCAGGAAAATTGAAAGACAACTATTCTTTCTCTCTCCTTTTTAAAAAAATCTATTGGCCTATCATTGTATATCATCTCTTTTTATAATTAGAGCACAAGAGAGAAAACTTTCAGTGTTTTCCTTTCCAGTCTTCAAATATATATAGTGATATGTGTATTATGAACATACACACATATTTTATCTTTCAAATGCTTATATTTGAAAGATATTGTGCTACTGGTAATCTGCTTTGAAAAAGCTCTCAACCTAACAATATATTCTGAACATTTTCCCATGTCATTAACCATATATCTACTGTGAAAATTAATATACAGATACCCTATTTAAGTGATGTCAGGAAGTTGGAAGAGACATTTTAAACATGAGTAATCAGCAACTTACAGGACCCAACGTGCCTTACATGTGCATGGGAAGTGATGTTGCTTCCCTGCTCACTAACAATCCCCTGTAAGAGCTAATAAAATGGGGTGTTAGCTTTAGTTCTGGACAAGTGCTAAGTATATTTTGCAGGAGACTGTATTTTCCCAAATTGCCTTATTGTTGTTTCTGAATAAGCCCATTTGTGTGTATGTGTGTGGACTAATGGGCTGCTTTTTGTTTGAGGTCAACACTAATTTTGGTTAGTAACACATATATGCTATTACCTGTACAGATTCACCATAAGTTTTATGTAAATCTCTATCTTCAGATACCTAGATTGGTTTCAGCTTTTCACTGCTATGAATAATTAATGCTGGCATAAACATCCTTGGAAGTGAATTTTGTTCCATATTTCTGTGTGTTTGAGATGGTGGTCTTAAGCACATTTGAGATATGGGGACTTTCATAATAACAGTAATAGCTTACATTCACCGAGGGGGTTATAAATGGATAAGTGACTTCAAGCTAGTTTCTCTGGTTCCAGATTCTATGTTTTTGTTTGTGCTCAGTGGGGCACTTCTTTGATCTATTTGGAACCTGGGTGGCTAGCTTTGCCTTGCTCTCAGGGAAACCTAGCCAGGTCACCTTAGTTCTCTGTGTCTCAGTGTCGTCACCTGTAAAGTGGGGATAATAATGCCTAACTTACAGGTTTCTTGTAGAGATTCAAAGAGCAATAATTATCAGCTGTTCTTAGTAGTCCCTCCACAACATGAAATCAGGAATTCACATTATTCTTATTCACAGAGGGGAGAGCACTCCATCAGTTTGTCTTGAGCATTTCTCCCTCTCAATTATAATCATCTTTTTGAATGCTTTAAAAAAAACTCCATATCTGCAGTTACATCTCTTTATCATTCTTACCATTTTGTCTTTCTTTTCGCCTGCCTTAGTCTTGCCAAAGTTTTTTCTATTTCTTTGACTTTTCAAAGAATCACCTATTGGTTGCTATTTGCCAATGTCAGTCAGTTTTTTCCTATTGCAATTTATTTCTGCCTTTATCTTTTAAAATGATATTTGAATTTGTTAATCATGAAGAATTTTCATACATTTGAAAAATAGAGTTATATATAGGAGTGATTATATGTTTATCTATAATACTTGATGCACATAGAGCCAGGGACCCATGAAGCGGTTTCTGCTCTAATCCCTATATCCTTCCACTGTCTATGGATTTATTGATCTCTTTCACAGGTCTCCTGAGTTGAGAGCTTGGGTCATCTGTTTTACGTTTTTGTGCTTTCTGTTAAATGCATTTAAAGTAATTAATTATCTTTTAAATACTGTTTGGCTATATTCTATAATTATAAATTTACATATATATAGGAAGGTGACTCAATTCACTTGGTGGAAGTGTTTTTACTAATAGTTTCCTTTTGTTATCATTTATTACCCATCATTTGATATTTGTTGGTAATTTACTACTTTGTAGGTAGTCCTAGAAGAGTGCCAGTAACAGTATAGTATCCTAGGCGTCAAAGAACTTATGACTTCATGTACTGAGAAGAAAAATCAGATGAACACCAAGTGTTAAAAGGTTTTTGCCATAACTTTTCTCACTTTCTCTGGTCTACAGTCTTGGCTTATTTACCTATATTGAGCATAGATTTGGAGAAGGGAGAATTAGTGAAAGATAGGGGATAAAAATTCACATTCAGTTGTACATTAATAAAATTAGCAGTGGCTGGTGTATGCCTTTTATTGACCTGAATTTTATTCTGACCTCAACTTTTATTACTGCCTGAACTTTAATTCTAATGTCTGAGAGAGCTGATAATATAGGACCTTTAAAAAGTCCTATAAATAATGTTATTTAGACCAAGAGTTCTTATCTGAATCTGTGAAATTTGATTAACAAGTATATACATTATATAATGTCTATTTATTTTTTAACCTACAGGTATACATACATATTATTTTTCATTAAATTTCCACTGAAAATGAGTATTTCTTCCATTATCAATGTAGTCAACAAACCAGAGTAAAGTTTGCCAATTGTGTTCCTAAAGGAAATCACACACGCTCCTACCACATTAAAATTGTGACAGATATCTCAAAATATTATTTATGTGCACCACTATTGTAAAATTTGGTAGGTAGGTCTTGATATTATTTAATGCATTATTAAAGAAGCAGATATGTAACTACTAGCTGCCTATCACTGTATAACAAATCACCTCTTAAGTTCATGGTTTACGACAACAAACACTAATTATCTCACAGCTTCCATGGGCCAGGAACCTGGCATGGCTTAGTAGTACCTGTTGGTTCAGGGTCCTTTACCAGACTGCAATCATGGTGTCAGCCAGAGCTGCAACTGTCTCAAGGCTCAACTAGGAGAGAATATGCTTCCAAACTCACTGACATGGTAGTTAGAAGGATTCAGTTCCTCATGGGTTGTCAGACTGAGGGTCTCAATTCCTTGATGGCTGTTGACTGGAGACTTCTCTCTGTTTCCTGCCTTGCGGGTCTCTTCATCAGGCAGGTCACAGTATGGCAGCTGGCTTCCATCAGAGTGAGCAAGTAAGAGAACAAGAAAGGATGGATGAGGAAGATGGGAGGTAGAGTCATTTATAATGTAGTCATGGAAGTCACATCTGCTATTTCTACTGCATTTTCTTTTTCAGAACCATGTCACTCAGTCCATCCACACGCAAGAGGAGGGCATTGTGGAAGAGAGAAATAACAGAAGGTGAGGGTTATTGGGAGTCATGTGAGATGCTTTCATTCACATAACTATATCACAAATTTATTTTTTGGTATTTTGATAACTGTATATGAGCAGAATCAATTTCCTTTATAGTCCTAGGTAGTTTTATTTTTTGCAGTGAAAAACAATTCTGAAAAAAGATCCATGGACTTTACCAATGTTCCAAAAGGGCACAAGCCTAATTTATTTCAATCCATATATCCTCAGTAACCTCCTGGGGAAATTGGTTTAGAATGGCTTTGATTGAGACGCCAGAGTTCAAAGCTTTGGCTTATTCTATCTTACTGTAATCTGATGCCCCAGACTGGTCCATATTGCCCCAGAGTCATGAAAAATGCCTGTCACATCCGAAAACATGCATTCATTATAGAAAACTCCATAAACTCTTCTCAGTCTACTCACTTGAATACAACATATATACACATGTGTGTATATATATATATTTACATGTGTGCCATCATATGATGGCAGACAGGTGCGTAGACTTGTGTCCAACTTGTTTGTTCACAATTAAACCTATTTCCCCCAAATACACTTGTGACCAGACTAGTGATTTTTCTGTTACCAAGTTATGTTTGAGAGTGTGCAAAAAGAGAAGCAATGTCATGATTCTTGTCTAAGTCTTTTGGCACTTGTCACCTGCTCTTGGTGGAACTAAAGAGAATGGCTGATATATCTGAATTAACTTTTCTCTAAGCACAGCACCCAATTCGTGAATTGTGTTATAGTCTAAAAGCTAAGGGTATTTCATAAAACCTCCAGCGTTCAGATGGAGGGTAAATTTGTCAACAATTGGCAGAGGTTGGAAATGATTCTCTTACATTGTTTACTCAGTAAGTTTTCTCCCAAAATTCAAATGCACCATTTTTCAAAAGCCATTCCTTCTGATTCATTCTACAGAGAGTTGATTTTCCTTATAGTTCTCCCATCCTAAATAAAACTATCACTTAAGATTTTCCAATATAACTCAAGAAAGATTTACAGGGACGTTGCCACGTTTTTCGTGGCTTTTCCCTTTCTCAGCCCCTCTCAAGTGGAGAGACTCTGGTGGTAAGGAAGCTGGGTAGTTTGTAAACCCCACAGCTACTAATGAGCCACTTGCTTGGTTAGTCCATACTGGCTGATCCCATTTTCTTAAATTGCAAAACGTGTGGATTTGTGGAGATGATTTCTAAGCCTCTTTCCGTTTCCAACATTCTTCGCACTGCAGAGTGAAATATTGCAAACAACTTTGACGACATGCAGGATACGTGACTAATGTAGGCAACACACTGGGTCACGCTCGAGAGAGGCCCGAAGCCGCTGTGAACAGAGAAAAGCGGAGTGGGGTGGGGGTGATGAGGGAGGGAAGGGGTGACGGGCGAGTCCCCGTCTCCCTAGCCCGTCAGGCAGTCACTCCGCGGAGGGGGGCGGGGCAGGAGGCAGAGGTTGACGACAAAAGGCGACTTCCGGCTCGGTGCGTGTGACGTCACGGTGCGTGTGACGTCAGGGCCGCGGCGGCCCGATTCGGTCGCCGCGCCGCCGAGAAGGGAGGGCTCGCGAGAGTTAAGGGCGGTCACCCGAGATCCCGGCGCGGCCGCGGGCAACGCCTCCCGGGGGCGGGGCGAGGGCGGAGCGGCCGCCGGGAGCGGACGGCGCGGGGCCGGTGCGGTCCGTGCTGAGGCTGAGCCGGCCGCGGGCGCCACGGAGGCAGGTGAGTGCGCGGGGCGGCCGCGCGGGGCCCGGACTCGTCGCGCCGCGCCGGGGCCGGAGCGGGCGTGTGTGTCTCTGGGCGGCCGGGCAGAGCCGAGCTGATTCCGGGCTGGCAGCGTCTCCGGTGCAGCCCGGCGACGGCCTTGGCCCTCTGCTTCCCGGGCTGGTGCTGGCCGGGGTCCGGAGAGGTGGCTCGGAGCCCGGGGCCGCGTCCCCGAGCTGCGCGCGCCTTTCGACCCCGGCCGCTGCGGCCGCCGCTCCCCGCACACGAACAGCGGCGGCGGGTCCTGCGCGCCGCCCCGGGCCCGTCCCGTGCCCTCCAGCCCTGCGGGTCCGCCGCGTCGGGGCACGGCTCTGCCGACGCGGGCGGTGCGCGCACCGAGCCCAAAAACTGATGCGTCAGGTCGCCCGGCGTGCTCCGAGCGCTCGCCCCGCTCCCGGGCCGCGGAGCGTCCCCACCCGGGGTCCCGACCGGCCCCTGTCCCTGAGCCCCCCCCACCCTGCTTGCTCTCCAGCCTCCTCTCCCCATTTCTCCCCTGCTCTGCCGGAGGCACTCGGGGGCTCGTCGGGTACGGCGGTAAGAAAGGGGGGAGCCCACGGAGGGGAAGACGTCTCACCTTTCGAAAAGTTGCCAGGTTGAGAAGCCAGAGAACAAACTTTGTTTGCCAAACCGCTGGCCTCCGGTTTGCTGGTGCTGCTTTGGTTTGGTTGGATGGCTTTTCGGGGGGGCAAGTTGGGAGGAGAGGTGCATAAAGGGATGGGGGTGGGGGCATGGGAGGAGACCCTGGGGCGCTGGAAGTTGTGGCAGGTCCCGGAGTGCCAGGCTGTGGCTCCTCAGTTGAGGACACGCAGCCCAAGCGCTCTGTTTCACATAACTTGTGATCAGTCTTGATGGAAGCCAGTTCATGTAAGGCCGAGTGTTTGTTGTCTTACTGCGAAATTCTGAGGAAACAACTTGGAAGTGTTTTAATGCATGCCTCCCGGTTGTAGGACGGGTATCCAGGAGTGAGTGCTAGTGTTTTGGGGGGTAACGGTGAGGTGGGGGTTTCAACTCTTAAGGGGTCCCTACTTTAAGGAGGGGCTAATTGTTTAAGCCCGCTTTTGCTTACCCCCTGCAGGTTTCTCAGAGTTCTTTGTCTCAGCCAGGTTTGTATTTATACATAAGATAACTGGAAACCTCTTTGTACTTTGTCTGCTTCAGGAGAGAGTAAAACAAATTTATTATGCTCTGTAGGCAGTAATTGAGAGGCATTACGTATGAATTTGCTACTCTTGTGACTATTTAAGGGGAAAGACATTAATCTAAAATAGGATGTGAAATTATGATAACATTTGTTCATTTCATAGCTTCATCAAATACCTCATCTCTACAAAAGTACAATGGCTAAATTTTTTTTTTGTTTGATCAAATGTTTCCCATTTGATTGGAATGTGTTTAGGAGAAACAAATTGGATGTAGTTTTTGAAGCTCTTTAAAAAACTGACTAGGAAATGAAAAATTACACTTGAAAAAACATGTTAAATAGGTGCGATTCTTCTGCAGCCTTTTTTTGAGGGTTTTTTTTTTTTAATAAGTCAGAATAGAGACCAGGAATATTTGTGCAAGTAACTAGGTGTCCTCTGCAGGTTTTATTCCAAAAAATTAATTTCAAAAGATGAAAGAGGAATTTTACTTTGTAGAAAATGTTAGCAAAGCAATGGGCTCAATTTATAATGCTTGAATCAGGGTTTGAGTAGAGGGTGTGTGTGTCTGTGTGTTTTCAGAAGAGTTCAGTTCTCTCCAAGTAAGGGACACTTCATTGTGTTACTAAGTTGGATAACACTTTTTTAGAAAGTGATCTCCTAGTGATCTGGGATAAATTTGAGCCTGGAAGTTGGGGGGGGGGCGGGGTGCGGAGAGGAGGAGAGAGAAAGCAGAAATCAAAGCTAGGAAGATTTGCATGTCATTGTAATGTTAAAGTGATTTTATTTTGCATAAATAGTGTAGGATAAATCAAGCTAGCATATTGTCATCTGGAGTCCCCAGAATTACATTAAAATCAGCAGATGGGCAACTTATGATTAGGTTAGACTTGACATATGCAGAAGTAATGCTACTGTATTTGTATACTAAAAGCATCATGGTCTTTTTGAATGAGATAATGAAAGTAAGATATTTAACGCATAAGAAAATTTAAAAAGTAAGTCAATTTAAAAAGATGCACTTCATCAGTAATTAAGAACTATTAAATGACTCCCTCTTTCCTGTTCTCCTACCCCAATGTTTTGTTTAAGTCATAGACTATTTAGCAAGGTATGACCAGTATTTAAGCACACTGATTTCATAAAACTCCTCTCTGTAGGGGTGTTATTGTTTACATTCTTGAGAGAGAGAAATGAAGGGCAGCAGAAAACAGTAGTTGCTGCCGTGGGTGCTCAGATGAACTGTAGTCTTCAAGGAAACATAATCTGATGGGAAGGAAATGTATTCAAATAACTATAATATGCAATGTGTTTCATGGCCAAGGAAGGAGGGATTGCATTCTACTAGATCAATTAAGGGAGGCTTTGAGGGGGAAGAGTGATTTGTTTAGTTCATTCAAAAGATCTAGTCATAGGAGAATCATAATAAGCAGACCCTTGATATAATGCTACTTGTGGCCAAATGCTTCCATGGACTAATTTTCCTGGGTTTAATTCTTTGCCTATCACATGGAGTAGGTAGGTTTACTACCCCTTTTGCAGGCGTGGTGACCAAGGTACCAAGAGCTAAAAAAATGGTGGGACAAGGATCCCAACCAGGCTTTCTGGTTTATACCTGTATCATTGTGCTTAACAACTTTGTGCCCATACTTTTTCTCTATTTATTGATGGTATTTCTCAGGTTTGTGGTTTTACAGAATTGATTTGGGAAAATACATTCTTCTGTTACCTAAATGTAGGGATTAATTTTCTAGGAAATTAATGTAAATAAAGTATTTTTGGAATGCTGTTTAATCAATTTCTGAAAGTTGCTCTTGGTGCCAATTATATGTAACTATTGAGTGGGACTATTGATGAATTTCATTTATTACCTAGTAGCAAACTCATGATTTACAAGTGAGAAGTTACCTTTCTGTTAACTCCTTTGTCTAGTGAAATGTTTGAATCATTGTATATTTTGGCCTGTGATTGTTTTAGACCACTGGCACTGGGTAGGTTTTATACTAAATTGTGGCACTGGACTTTTGTAAATGATGGAATGTCTATCTCAGCCCTTTTAGTTTTTAATTTCTACAAACAACTATATTTATAACACTTGAATCAGAGTTTGAGTAGAGTGGTGTGTGTGTGTGTGTGTGTGTGTGTGTGTGTGTGTGTGTGTGTGAAATGAGAGAAGCTCTGATACTTTGTTAGGGTAATGTTGAACACTTTTTGGGCATATGAAATCCCACAGTAGTAATTCCCTGTGACCAGGATAGGCCTACTCAATCAACATGCCTTTGTTCAATCAACATCTGACTAATTTTATTTATGAAGTTTCAGGAGTAGTTTGCATTTGTTATTGGTTATCTTAAGTGTTGCAATTGGAGTCAAAGGTGAGGGGAAAAGCCTTTGGCCAGTAGTAGGGCCACTGCCTGTTCTTACCTGTCTAGTGAGAGCCTGACCCTTCAGTTCCTTTGACAGTCCCCTGGTTGAGCACTATAGAGTAGAGCCCCAGAGGATAAATTGTAGCTAATGAGTTTAAAATGTAATGGGGAAAGTAGCAGGATTTACCCAGGATTTAAAAGTCATTGTGTTTTAATTATTACAATAAGACAAAAATGGCCCAAAAATGTTTTAAGACTTTTTTTTACATGATTTAAATTACTAGTGATGGCATAATAGTTCTATTTGCCATCTCTAATTGATAAGATGTTCAGACTCTCCAACCTCTAAATTCATGGAGATGCTTATTAGTCAACTATGCTTCGTTCCAAACAAGTTTCATATTTCTCCAAGGTTTGATTTTGAAAGGTTGTTCTTAGAAAGAAAGGAGGTTTCTTCGGAGGGAAAAACAGACCAAAGGAGGTTTCCTCAAAGGGAAAATCTTACCTCCTGGCTGACAGAAATTTGGGGGGCATTTTTTCCAATAGTAGAGCAGTTTTGTCACTGTTGGGCAGCCCATGAGACCAGTAGCCTTTCTCTTAGGTGGGCTTTGCACAGGCCTTAGGAAAGACCTCAATGGTCACATGTCACACTATGCCTGACCCTTTGTGTGGCTAGTATGTAAATTCAAAAAGACCTCAGATATCAGCAGTTGTTTTGATTCATGAGGCTGCACTTGCAGTGTGGCTGACTTGACACTCCTCAGTGAGCTCCTTGCCTGGCCCTGAGTGAGCGTAGACCACTGGGTTCAGGATGGATGTGGATACTCTGGCCTCACATACAGAGGCGGCCTGCTTTCCATGGATTCCATAGGTATGGCTCTTCACACGTTGCACAATGCCAGCCTCTAGTCTTGTTTGCACAGCCGTATCCCTTGTGTTCTCTACATCTGATTCAGGAGAAGAGTCTCTTTTTCTTTTTCCCGATTCCTGGAACACATTTATGGCTTTGGGGCTTTTGCAATTGCTGAGTGTGATAGAGTTCACAATGTTTAATACCTCAAAAATTCACCACAAATGCATCTTCTCCAGAATAAAAAACAAGACGACAGGAACCTAAATGACTATGCATGATGTTAATGCTGCCTATTTTTGGAAGGCAGAGTTGCTCTGCCTTTGCCATGGAGCCTCACTTTCTATCTATGAAAATTTAGAAAATTGAAAGTTTGGAAACAGGCTTCTGTACACATCAGCAAGCACTCCCCACTACCACCCCCACCTTTTTCTCTCTCCGCACAGTCATTGCTATTCTGCTTTTATAACTTGGGAGATTTTAACTACAGTTCTCTAGTCCTGGAGACAGTGTAAGTAACTTTTCACACTAGATACAAAAATTTGTGTAATCTATGTTTCTTCAGATTTTCCTCCCAACAGGAATGTAGAGACCTAGCTCGCT